AGAAGAAGAAGAAGAAGAAGAAGAAGAAGAAGAAGAAGAAGAAGAAGCAGCAGCAGCAGCAGCAGCAGCAATGTGGCACACAACTTTAATCCCAGCACTTGTGAAGCAAAAGCAGACAGATCTGAGTTCCAAACAGCCAGGGCTATCAGGTGAGACTCTGTCTTGAAAAAACGAACAAAAAAAGCTAGTCATAGAGGCACTTGTCATTAATCCCAGCACTCTGGAAGCAGAGACAGGTCAATCTCTGAGTTCTAGGTAAGCCTGGTCTACATAATGAGGTCTAGGCCAGCCCCAGCTACACAGTGAGACACTCTCTCTAAAAATGATAATTTCTTGGGAAAGAAATGGATCAGTGGGTGAAAGTGCTTGCCAATCAGCCTTATGACTTAACTCTGATCTGCAGAATACATATGGTGGAAGAGAGCAGACTTCTGCAAGTCATCCTTCTCCATCTCCATACATACATACATACATACATACAAAAAAAATAAATACATGTAATAATATCTCTTAACAAACGCCACCTCAGCTTAAAAGGGAGAAGGGGAGTTCATACCCCTAGTCCCACCCCTTCAAGCCTGACCCTAACAGGCAATAAAGCCTCACAGGGAGATCCCACAGCATTCCCTACAACTCAATAATGCAAAACCCTGTTGCTCAGTCCACAACAGCTGACTTCAAACGGATCAGAGGCTGTGCTTATTAACAAAATGAGAAATCTGATCTGTGGAAAGAAAACACTATGTGTGGATTAATCTAGGATTGCAGCTTGTGGAAGAGGCTAGGCTGCTGGCCAAGACCAGGAAGTGAGGAAGGAAACCTGCCTACCTGTCCTCAGAGCAGGTACTTACTATGTAACAGAATAGGATGAATTAGCCCTGGCCCGTCTGCACCTTCCAGCAATTACAGCAAATTACTTTGGTTCTGCTTTAATTAAAGGCAGGGCTCCCTCAAGCTGCTTCTTCCTACATGCAAAGCCAGCAATACAAGGAAGATTTTTCTTTTCAGGAATTGCTCATAAAAGCTCAGTGAGTAATGTACAAGTCCCAACAACTGGCAGAACACTGCAGGAAGGAATTCTGGGCACACAGCAGCACTCAGACAGCCAGAGAGGCTGGTCAGTAAGCACTCTCAACACCTTACAACTAACCTGCAGAAAGCCAAGAGCCAAAGCAGAAGGCTGAGCAAACAGAACTGCCCCACTAATGCAAGCAGGCAGTGCAAAGATTCTTCTCAAATCTGCCTTGTAGGGCTCCGAGGTTTTTATTAACAACTTTAACTGCTGCACAGGACAGAAAGATCACCTGCAGGCAACATGACTTCTTGCAAAAAACCCTAGTCCAAAGGACTCCTGCTAGCCACACATTTGTCTCTAGAGCTAGGCCAGCCTGGGGCTGGCCCATCTGCTTTATTTCAGACTACTCCAGAAGCCCTACTCCACCTAGCATACTTTTTCTCCTTGAGACTGGGCTACAGAGTGGTCACACAACCTGATCCTAAAAACGTCTGCTTGAAAGCCAGGGATTCCAGATACAAGCAGATAACGAGGAGCAGAGCCAGGAGGACTCAGAAGCAACTATAAATGCGGCATCCCTCTTGGGTTTGGCTCCATCCCTCCGTCCTGTATCCTACATGGGAAATCCCAAGTTCAGCCTAGAGGATGAACCTCTCCACTGCCTGCTCGATCTCTCCGGCCTAGGAGCAAAAGACAGCTAACAAACCTCAGTAACAATCCACAGCCACAGGATTCCTATAGGCACGGACCCGCCCCTCCCCCACCACCACATATGTCAGTAGGGGTGGCCTCTCAGTGTTACACACCCCTCCTGCTGTTTGGGAGTGAGGGGCCTGGAACACAGCTCTCTAACTGCGCCTGACAATTATATCTAGAAAAGACACCGTGAAGAAGGGGAGAGAACGCGTAAGTAAATAACTTCTAAATCTCTCTGGCCAGCTAAGATCAGCACCGGACTCTTGGTCTCGAGGCAGTCCAAAACTGTCTGGGTGGGGCTGCAAGGACTATTATCTGGCCTCAATCCCTCCAAGTACGTTAAGACACTGTCCCCCAGGGAGAGGCATTTCGCCCAGCAAACACACCCAGGCCTGTGTGCATATGAACCATTTTGGAAGATAAACAGAGAATGACAAGCTAGGGCCCCTCAGCTCACTCCCTGAGCCAGGCAAGTCCCTTCCTCTTGCCACCCGACCCCCTCCCCCCAAGCCCATCTCTCTTCCTGCCAGGCAGCTGCCTACAGCAAAGGTCTGGGGGCAGGGCAGAAAGCCCACCCAGCCACGGAGCCGGGCCCTCCAAACCCTACCCTGTCCCTGACAAGGCCAGTCTCCCAGCCAGGAAGGGGACTAGAGGAAAAGGACCGCAGACCATACACACAAGCGCAGTCCTGGAAACCGTAAAACGTTCCAGAGAGGGGCAGCCCCAGGCGCACAGCCGTTTGCATAATGGGAGTCCGCCCGCCTGTCAGGCAACATAGCCCGACGCCGTTCGGATTAGATTGCTAATGAAAAGGCACAAAGACCCGGCGCTCGCTACCCCGTCGACCCCCACTCCACAGACTCGCGCCCCAGGACCGGCGTAGCCCTGGGGGCTTTGTGCCCGGAGTCCCAAGCCGGGCGCAAGCCGCCGGGCACCTGGACCACAAAGCCCCCGCCCGCCCGGGGTCCCGCGTGCGACTCGGTTCGGGACCAGGGGCCGTGCGCGCGCTGCGTCCCACGCGCGCCCACGCCCCCCTCTCCGGGGACGCGCCCGGCCCGCGCCCCCCTCACTCGAGGACGCCGCTTACCGCACGCGCCTGCCAGCGGCCCCTCGTCTTCGGCGCCCGGCCTGCGCCGCACGCGCCCGCCCTGTCCGCCCGCCGCCGGCCCCGCTCGGCTCTCCGCCCAGCGCGCCCAGAGCGCCGCTCACAGACGCCCGCCCCGCGCCATCTTGGAAGCTTGTGACGTCAGCTCCACCCGCTCACCCCTGACCCACATCTGAATGGGCGAGCGACTGGGCGGGCCTAGGGGCGGACCCTCGTGGGGGTAGACCCTCGTGGGGGCGGGGTCTCGTGGGGCGGGGTCTCGGGGCTGGGCGGGGCCGACGGGAGGTCTGAGTCCAGGGAGGGGCGGGTGGCTGCCGGATAGCGTGATGGGGGAGGGGCGCACGGAGGGCCCAGGAGTCCCAACTGGGACACCGACCGGTCCGGACCCAGGCGCCAGAACGGGATGGCAACCTCATTTCAAAATGCTTGACGTGCACACCCTGTGAACAAGGACCATGTTCTCTACCACAGGTCTATGCCCAGCCCTCAAACGGAACTCTGACCCGTTTTGAGACTGGCCGGGACTCATCAGAACCCCCAACACCACCACTACCAACCCTGGTCGGGTGGCCTGCGCCTCGGCTCTCGGACCCGTTTGCGTCCCTTGGTCTTCAGCTATGCAGAGTAGCCCAGTCTAAAACATTCAGTCCCCTAGACTGCTTGCTCCATTCTCTGGACTGCAGGAAGGCCTGCGTGGTTCTGATTTTAAAGAACAGGTCCGGGAGTCCTAACCCCAGACTCCTCCTGGGGATCCTTGTGTCCACACTTGGCGTAGGTCGACCCGGCTTGTTCAGAGCGCCAGGAGGTCCAGGTACACCATTTGCTTATGCAGAGTCTGCAGCAGGTGCTAGGGGTCTAGGCAGCCCAGGAAGACCCCAGGCTTGTGCCATCCAAATGTACTGGGGTTCACTGGGAGTTAGTCTCTAAGGAGTTATTTAATGACCCTCTCTGTACTTTGAACACTAAACAAAGCAACCCACCACTGTTAAGGTCAGAAAAGTCAGTGTGCCCAACTATTATTCCATAGAGAGATTGTGACCCAGAGGCAATCAACATTGAATCCAATTCAGCAACCCCTCACAGAGGGCCGGAGAGATGGTTCAGAGGTTAAGAACACTGGATGCCCTTCCTAGAGGTCCTGAGTTCAATTCACAGCAACCACGTGGTGGCTCACAACCTTCTATGATGAGATATGGTGCCCTCTTCTAATGTGCAGGCATACATGAAGACAGAACATTATATACATTATAAAGAAAGAAATAACCGTTCACAGAGACTAATTGTGCAACCATGCTTTCCTTAATGTAACAGATAAAAATTTAAATTCACCTGCATACATAACTAAAAACAGCTATAATCTTACCCACTTTGAAACACCAAAAAACAGGAATGACGGTACATTTGTCCTAACAGATATTAAAACAAATGATGAAGCTACTGCTGTTGGTTGTACTAGTCAAGAAATAGAATGCAATGCCTAAACATCCTAGAAATGATGAAACCACAATAGATTTAAAATGGATGGTGTTGCTAGGCAGTGGTGGCTGCCTTTAATCCCAGCACTGGTGAGGCAGAGGCAGGCGGATCTCTAACTTCAAGGCCAGAGTGAGTAATAGATTTCTAGGACAGTCAGGGCTACACAGAAAAACCCTGTCTCAAACAAAACAAAACTAGCTAAATAAAATTGGTGGTGTTGGTGCATGTCTTTAGTCCCAGAGCTCTGAAGACTGAAAAAAAACAAATCTCTGTGAATTAGAACCACTCTCATCTATATAGTGAGTTCCAGGCTACACAGTGAGCCTGCCTCAGAAAGGAAAAAATAAATAAAAAGGAAGTGCCAAACACCTGTGTTAAAGGACATGTCAGTCAGGAAGAAGAGAGCTTAGAAGTAGGCTAATATAAAAAACTCAGCTAGCCAAGTGTGGTAGCACATGCCTTTAATCCCAGCACTCTCCAGAGGCAGAGACAGGAAGATCTCTGAGTCCAAGGCCAGGCTGGTCTACAGAGAGAGAGAGAGAGAGAGTTCTAGGACAGCCAGGGCTACACCGAGAAATTCTGGAGGATTGGGGTAGTTAGTTTTTGAAAGCAGCAACAACAAAACCTTGAGAGAAGGCTTGCAAGGTCCTGCCACTCCGTAGGTGATGATTGCTGGAAGGAACTTTTTTTTTTTCAGTGGTATAGCCACTGGTAAATTGCCTTAATTCCTAGAAATAATTGTCCACTTATGCTCCTGTAAGCAGCTCTCATTAAATTCACTAAATCACACACACACAAAAAAGAAGTAAAACCGAGACAGGTTGGGAAAAGAAATGAGGTCAGAGAAAGTAGAAGGGAGACCGAGAGGGCTATAGGGTGATTGTGATCAAAATACACTACATACATGTGTGACAATGTCATGAAAGTCATTATTACATGTAATTAATATATGCTAGTAAAAACCTTAATAAAAAAAAGTGAAAAGTGGCCGCTCGTTCCTTTTCCCTCCTTGGCTGTCTGAAAGCAAGATGGGTCACCAGCAGCTCACCCGCGGAAGTTCGGCCAGGATTCTCGCTCCTGCCTGTGTCTGCTCCAAGGTCTGATCCGGAAATACGGGCTGAACATGCGCTGTCAGTGTTTCCGTCAGTACGCGAAGGACATTGGCTTCATTAAGTTGGACTGAGCGACCTTTAATGGATTATTCAAGGTTGTCTACACAGTGAAACGATTATGCTAGTCTTTGTACATAAAGAATAAAAAAGTGAAGACCTCCAAAAAAAAGAAAGTGAAAAGAGTGTATGATCCATACTGTATGCTCCAGCTGTACCACTCCTGGGATGGTTAGGTGTCTCTAAGTCAGCAAGCCCAGGTTTATTTTATACATTTTGCTTTTTTTGTAACTTTTTTCATACAATATATTCTGACCATGCTTTCCCCTCCCTCAGCTTCTACCCACCCAACTCTCCCTCCCCTGTCCCTTTTAGGTGTTTTGGGTTTGTTTGTTTGTTTGTTTGTTTGTTTGTTTGTTTATGTTTTTCAAGATAAGGTCTCTCTGTGTAGCTTTGGCTGTCCCAGAACTCACTCTATAGACCAGGCTGGACTTGAACTCAGAGATCTGCCTGCCTCTGCCTCCCAAGTGCTGGGATTAAAAGTGTGTACCACCACTGCCCAGGCTCTTTTCGTTTTCTAAGAAAACATCTCACACAGTAAACTTGACTGTCTTGAAACTTGATATGTACACCGAGCTGGCTTCAAACTCACAGATTTTTCTGCTTCTGCCTCCCAGAGTGCTGGGATTAAAGCTTTGTGGCAACAACTACACTAGGTGCCCCTCCCTCTCTGTTTAAAAAAATAAACAAACAAACAAAAACCAAGGAACTAACACACCACATACTCACACAGAAAAACTTCACAAAACCAGAAACCAAAATATACAAGCAAAAGACCAAGGTAAACATAGTCATGCCCACCTTTAGTTCCAGTTCTTGGTAGGCAGAGGCAGGTAGATCACTGTGAGTTTGGGGCCAGCCTGGTCTTCATAATGAGTTCCAGAACAGCCAGAAATACATAGTGAAACACTGTCTCAAAAAAGAAAAAAAAAAAAAATGCTTAGGCAAAGCTATATGAGGAAAAATGTCTGCAAAAACACCATTGAATTCAATTCATTTTATGTTGGGTCTATCCTGAAGTATGATTAATATACTCAGTGAGACTCCACTGAAGAAGACTGATTTTTCCTCTGCAAACAAATACCAGTTGCAGATAGCATCTCGGTTAGGGGTGCAAGCCTGTGTCCACATCCCCTTGCAGCAGCGGGACCCCATCTGGCTTAACCTGTACAGGCCCTGTGAGTGCTGCCACAGTCTGGGAGTTCATATGTGCATCTGTTCTGTTGTGCCTGTAGGACATTGACTCCTTGGAGTTATCCATCACCTCTGGAACTTCAAATCTTTCAGCCTTCTCTTATGAATAGATTCCAGAGTCCTGAGAGGAGGGTTTGATGAAGACATCCTATTCAGGATTATGTGCTCCAAAATTTCTCACACCCTATATATGGCCCAGTTGTGGGTCTCTGTGTTGGTCCCATCTATTTTAAGAAGCTTCTCTCATGATGGCTGAGTGAGGCACTGACCTGTAGGTACAGCAGAATGTCATCAGGAGTCATTTTATTGTTATGTTCCTTTAGCAGGAAAACAGTATTTGGTTTTTCCCTGGGCCCACGAGACTTGGCCAGTCCCAGGTTCTTGGCCACCCAGTGTCTGCCATGGATGCCATCGCATGAAGTGGGCCTTAAAACCAAGCAGGTCACTATTGTAAGCCGCCATACAAATTCAGCTGGTTCAGTGTTTACCTCTGCTAGCACACAGAGCGCCTTCTGTCACGATGAACACTGGTCAGTAGAGACGAAGCCTCTAGCTGGGCACTGGCTTGACTTCTCCATGTTCCATGGCATGCATAAGCTCTACCTGTCATCCTCCCAACAGAGCTTTGCCATCATTTGTGGAGAGTAACCAACAGCTTTGGCAAGAGCCTGAGATGTTTGCAAGTTTCCGAAGGAAAACCTCTGAGCAATGGCTCAGCTAGATGTAACCCATTCCCACACGGGGTGTCTCACTTGTGAGGAAGGATTTCCAGTTGGGGCATTGCATTGTCTCCTTCCCTATTTTTTGGTGACTTCATTTAGATTCTTTTCATATATGTGGCATGTATTTTGGGAAATGTCTACCGTAGTAGGTTTCCATATGATCCTTCAAAGAGCCCTTACTGTTGGTTGTCCCTGCCCAATTCCCTCCTTTTATCCCGTCATGACAATATTTTCCATTTCCCCTTCCCTGAGAGATATTATACCACCACCACCACCCCCACCTCTTATAGGTACCTGCCTCTGTAGTTATATGGACTGTAGCAATTGTAGCACATACATCAAAGGCTTAAACCCTGGGTGGTGGGGGGGAAGGCATCTAAGCCCAGCACTCAGGGAGGCAGAGGCGGGTGGATCTCTGTGAGTTCAAGGCCAGACTGGTCTACAAATCAAGTCCAGGACAGCCAGGCTACACAGAGAAACCCTGTCTTATACGTACCACTACTACCCCCCCGGCTGGAGAGGTGGCTCAGCA